TGGTTTTCGAAGTTCGTTCCTTTCTGTTTGTTGTTTGAAATACTTTGACAAGAAGACTTCGCCATTGTTCGGTGCCATCGCTTTGATGTGTGGAAATGGTGGCTCTTTATTCTTTCCTTTTGCGAGCTCATTTACTTGATGAAGAAAGGCAGGATTGGAGTACAGAGGTTGATCCTGATTGTATCGAGGTACATGCTCCCAACAACAATCAACTTCAGTGTCATTGTTCTCCATCTGCTGAAACTTGTGCTCCCTTTGCAAGTTATATTCCGCAGCACCTCGCAGAGTTAGGGAATCTGCCATTTCTGGTCGCATTCCAGTATTGGCGAAGTGGCGCACAAGACCATGGAACATTTCAATCAAGCTCTCTGGACGTTTGGAAAGCCATTTGACTAATTGAATGAGTGCCTTCTTCCCTGGTTGGACGCCTCTGTACATCTCAATACCTTCTGGATCTTGGATGTGGTTGGCATGCTGTCGATTATTTGCGAGTTGCTCTCTGAACTTCTGTAGAGAAGACGTGAAGAGGTCTTCAGCTTGTGGAATCGCCTTGAGAAAGTCTAGAAGCCAGGCTTCAAAATCATTCAAGTTCCTGTCAACTTGGTCTCCATTTGGAATCTCCTTTCTTAGGTATTTGGTGTAGTTCCTTTTCCAGTTTTTTGAGAGTCTTAATTCATCCAATCCTTCTTGAGTGTATGTTTCGCCATTTTTATCCTTGATATGTCCATCCTTGAATGCATTCGTCAACGCACGCAGATCATCTTGGTTATAATTATAGATTGCCCTTTGGAATCTGTCTTTGATGCGGTAGAAATGTTTGTGCTGCGAATTTAGATGCTTCATGAGTCGCTGATTGAAATGGAACAGACCCAATGCTCCTTCTGTGTTTGATCCAAGGCGTTTCTCCCAGTAGTCCTTGTCGTTTGGCCATGTATCAGTGTAGAGTCCGCGGGGTTTGCCATCGTTGAAGTCCATCCCTTTCCGTTTCAGCAACTTGTTCAGCATGTGATCAATTTCACAAAGCTTCTGTGTTGGAACAATGACCAAGCTGCAAATTTGTGCCTTCTCATTCAAGACAGTAAAAATAGCTTTGCCACCTTCTAGTCTATAGTTTTTCAGAGTCTCAAAGGTATGATCAATCGCAAGAAGCTCATCAATTGTTGTTGCTTGAATAATTCGTTCGTTTCGATCATTTGCTGCCATTCCTTCTGGATTGAGAGTTGAATCCTGTGCCCGCAGGTATAGGTCCCGGCAATCTTGATCGGATGGCGCATATGTTCGAACCACCTGCTGCAATTCTGGATAGGAGCCGCCAATGGTTGGCCTACTGAGATAGTCTTCAATTCTATCAAGATAGAATTGGTGCTTTCTTCGGAACATCTTCAAAACAAATTGGCGTGCGTTGGAATGTGTCAGCATCTCTTCTTCCAATATTCGACTTGCCGATTTAGAGAGATGACAGTGATTCCCCTTCTTTGCATATCGTGGGTCCACTGGGTATTGGTTGCGAATGAAAGCTGGAAGGTTTGCCAGAAATGGTCCCTCATTAGTCTCAAATTCATGCTTGCATCTGTTGCATTTGTATTTGAAAGGGCGACACCAGGTCTCATTTGAGTCAGTAACAATTCGAAGAAGAGTCTTGTTTTGACTGTAACAGTCACGTTTCCGAGTAAGATCCTTGGATTTGCAGTTGCAACATAGGATATGAAAGTCTGGAAATGCAAGTTCCAAGTCCATGTAGATGAACTGGGACCCCGCAAGGGAGTGGAAGTTCGGATCAATTGGACTTTCAGAATTGTAGATATTTGGAATGGTGTAAACAAAATTGTTCTTTCCAAAGATTGCATGGAACCTATCACGTGCTAGGTTGAATTTAGGCGTGTCAGGTAGGGACTCAGATAGACGAGTAGGTTTTGAATTCACCACCTGCTCCATGATCTCCTGTGCCAGCGCCAACATGGCAGGAGGAGCCTTATGCTCTGACGGTGCCTCTTTTCCTTGAAGCCTTGTTGCAACACGGCGTTCCAAGAACTTCGCAACCTCCAGTGGTGAGCTATTTGGAGCCAGAATTTCTTCAGATGCTTTCCCATTTTGAACTGTGGTGGCTTGAGCCTGTGCAGGAAGTTTTCCAGCAGCGAGAGCCTTCCTTCTTCTTGTCATAGTCGGCCCAGAATAGTACAATTGCACGCTTGGGGTCCCACCTCCAGTAAGCTCTTTTTCCTTCTCTGGATTTTCCATTGGGGCGTTGAAGTAGTTCCTAAGATCTTTTTCATACTTCGTTTCTCCTTGACTATTTTTCAAAAGCCCTGGGCAACGGACGTCATGGGGTCGATGTGGAACACGGAGATCGTTTTCTTTTGCATGGCAGATCACACAGTCATCCAAAGGATTGAATGCCTTTTTGCTTATGTCATCAACAGCCCGCTGATTTCGATCGAAATGGGCAATCCTTGGGTTCACTTTCTTTCTCCTCTTGGCCGGAGACGACCAAGTTTTAGTCTTCTTTGTTGGTGGAGTTCGTACATGACTTTGAACACCCATTGTGTTTGGCTTCTGAGCATTTTGTGCTTCATCATCATGACATTGTAGTGCACCTGTGGGAGAGGCGACGGATGCGTTCAACGCATGCGTTAGTTTTCGTTTTGCAAACGGATGTTCCCCCTCCTTTGTCATGCCGTGAGTGTTGGTTGATTGATGTTGTCATTGGAACTTAGAGTTTTTCATAGTTTACCGAGTTTTGTGATGTTTTGAATCCTGTCACGAATGTCTAAGTTTCTACGCGTTTGGTTGTTAGATCTACGTATGAAGTACTATGTCTTTTCTTTGATATCCCTAATTATTTTTCTCAATGCGACCTTCTCGACCAATCGAGATCCTGCCTTTTCCCCAATTCACCCTTCATTGAGTATCGCCAGTGTCAGTAGGCTTCGAATTGTCTCCCAACCAACAACTGGGGAGTAGGTCTCCCAATAGTTGACGCCTTTCTCTTGCGAACTGCCATCAATGCATATTCTCGCCTTCCATTT